GGGGGTGCTTGCGTGATTCAAGGTCATGTTTCGTAAGGTGAGGGTGGCGCGTGGCTGCTGGGTTTGTCAACAAGATAGATGAAAGAGGGACGGGAGGGTTTTCCGCGGTGCGCCCCTGCCTTCTACCAGCCTCGTATGCAGACTGTGTGCCTGATCGACAGCGGCAGCAGCACGTCACACGACAGAATCTCATCAAGGCGTAGACCCCACCAATACACACGATCAAACCACACACGCACACACTCTCACACACACACACACACACACAAACCCCCACAAAGAGCGTCCGTCCCACATATCTTCACTCCCTGCCCCCAGCTCATCAGATCAATCTGCACACCCACCACAACCACTGAACCCTCAACCTCAGGTGCCCGGCGCCCTGACGAGCAGCATGGTGGACGATGCCTTCTACATCCTCAAGAAGTGCGGCGCGCGGGCCCTGGCCACGGGCAGCGTGCAGTGCGTGGCGGCGCTGGTGGGGGAGCTCAACGACAGCTTGGCCAACACATACAGGGCCGCGCTGCAGGTGCGCGTGTGTTGGGTGTACGCGCGTTTTGGAAAACGGGTATGTACTTGGGCACTTCGGTACTTGGGCGTGGCTGTGTGTGTGTGTGTGTGTGTGTGTGTTTGTGGCAGTGTTGCTGATGTTGGAATTGCTCAGCTGGGCAGCATTCATACACATGATTGCGGCACCGATGTTGGTGTGTTGGGCCAGAATTATGGGCAGACCAAGCCTGGGGGGGGGAGATGATAGGGTGTGCGGCTTTGCCTGTGTATGGGAATTGGTGCTTGAGGGGCTATCTGCACTGCAGCCCGCTTCACACGACAGGGCTGCACTCCTGGGCAGAGCGTTTGCAGGGCCGACCACGGCCGCGACGCAGCTCTCCTTGTGGAGGACATGCAGGCGCTCCCTAGAGCTGCGGCCGCGCCTGTGGCAGGCACCCAGTGTGTGCTAGGGGCACCAAGCGGCAAGACAGGGCAAGGATGCCGCCCACCTGAGCGCGTGCGCGTCGGCCCGCCCCACAATCGACCCTTGCGTTTCACACTTTGCAGAGCCGCCTGGCCGGCGGGCCCGCGCGTCTGGTGGCTGCGGCGCCACAGGCGCCTGGCGGGCCGCCTGCGGCGCTCGACGCGGCGGCCGCGGGTGAGGCCGCTACGATTATATTCTTGGGGTTCAAGGGGGCACACACGCTATTCATCCACACGCCCACAAGTAATGCAGGCTCAGCTCAGGTTCTGAGAGTTGCAGCGATGGTCTTCAAGGCTCTAATTGCACACCTAAGCACAGTTGTTCTGCCAATACGCTGCCCGCTCATTTTCTATCCACTGTCGTCCACTCCTGCCCCCACATCTCGCACCGCACACGCACGCACGCGTGACCCCACCCCCAGCCGCCGCAACGGAGCACGCCGTCGCGATCAACAACGCTGACGTCAGCGCTGACTACGCGGCGAAGCTGCGCCACGAGCTGGAGGGCATGGCTGAGAGGGTGTTCCCGGGAGTGGGTGAGCACAGGGACCGCTGGGGCTGCCGCCTGCCGCAGCAGCAGCTTCCAAGGAGTGTGGGGGTGTTGTTGAGCGGCGTGCCGTGATGCGTGGCGGTGTATTCCCAAGAAAGTGGGCATGTTTGCAGGGTGCTGTGAAGCTTGAGGAGGGGGGGGGGTGTGGAGGTGGGGGCATCGGCAGGGACAGCAGGCGGGCATCGTCAGGGTAGGGGCGGCCGGCTGCGTTAGCGTGGATGGCGCTGCGCTGCGGCAGCCGGGAGGGCGACGCTCGGCTCCGCGGGCTGCATCGTGCTGGGCCGTCCTGCAGTCTGCTGAAGGCCGGCGCGCATCCCTGCATGAGAGTGCGCTCTGACTGCAGAGTCCTCCAGCCCCTCGCTCCCCCGAGCCCACACCACCCGGCCGTCTTCCCCCACCGACCCCGAGCCCCGGCGCGCGACCACCCCCTTCTCACCCGTATTTTTAGGCGAGAGGGAGCGCGTGCGGTCCGTGCTGTCTGACCTGACGAAGACGGGCGGCGACTTCCGCTCCCTGGCCACGCGGGCGCTGGAGGCGCTCAGCGACGCGCTGCTGCCGCGGCTGAGGGCCGCGCTGGACCAAGTCGGGGCGGTGGGTTGGGCCCTGGAAGTGGCAGCAGGGGGGTATGGGAGTGTTGCTTGTGTGTAGGGGGTAAACCCCCGGGCCCCTTGGGGCAAAAAAACCAGATTAGCTGCTAACAACATGAGCGAAAGATTTGTTGGTTTTTGAACAGAAGAACAAATCTCAGCGGATGTCGCGCCTTCGGTGGCTGGGTGTCGTGGTAGTGATGGAAGACGGGGTCAGCCCCAGGGAAAATGGTGGGCGGTGGGTGACCGCCATGGAAGCTGGCATGCAACTCTATGCAACACAGGGTGGTTCGTCCCTCTACCCCCACCCTTTTCTGCTGCTGTCCGCTCAACTCGAACCCCACCGTCCCATGCCCCTGAATAAACACCCTGAAAGAAGCACGTCCAATACGACTCTCTGCACGAGGAAACCGAGTCAGCCCCAAACCACGTGTAACCCCGTAACCCCCGAAACCCCCATACCCCCGTAACCCCCATAACCCCCGCAACCCCCGTAACCCCCGGAAACTCCAGGCCAGCTACCTCCTGGGCGACGATGACTACCTGCAGGCCGAGGCCGAGGACGGCTGGGTGGGGCGGCTGCTGGCTGCCCTGGACGGCCAGCTGAGGTGGCTGCAGCCGCGGCTGACCCCTGGGGCATGGGAGGGTCTGTTCCACTCGCTGCTGGACAAGCTGCTGGCACGCCTGGAGGTGAGCGGGAGGGGGGGGGCACAAGTTGGGTAGTGAAAGTGGACAGTGTAACGGCACGAGGGGTTGCCGATGAGGAGGAGCAAAGTTCCTGTTGGGGCTCAACGGCTTGCATTTCAGAGACGTTGCATTATGGATGTCCTCCAATCTGGGAGGTGAGATGCAGTCACACACTAATTGTGTGTGTGTGTGTGTGTGTGTGTGTGTTCATCTATCTCACACTCTCACACAACCACGCGCACTCGTGATGGCAGGTCCTCTTGAGCCGCAAGCAGTTCAGCCAGCTGGGGGGCCTCCAGCTGGACCGGGACGTGCGGGCCCTGGTGGCGGCCACGGGGGAGATGACATCACGCACAGTCAGGGACAAGTTCGCGCGGCTCACGCAGGCGGGTCCTATGCGTTTGGCTGGGGAGGCAGTCAGGATCGGTGGTGGTGGCGCAGGCGGGGGTCGGCTGCCGCACCACAACACGCATGTTGTGAGGGGCCCTAACCTCAATGGCCGACCTGCCCTGCAGACCTACACCTCTCCGGACCACCGACCCATCTGCTTCTCACCCCTCCCGCCCCTCCCACTGCAACAAAGCACTCCAACCAACGACCCCAACCCATTCTCTCCCCCTTAGAACCACCACAGTTACCGCCACTATCCCAACAAGCTACCCTACCATCATCATCAACACCTGCCACCCTATCAAACCTCACACCCCCCTTTCACACCCAGATGGCCACCGTCCTGAGCCTGGAGTCAGTCCAGGAATTCCTGGACTACTGGGGGGACGACGCCGGCCACATCACCTGGCGCCTCACGCCCGCCGAGGTGCGCGCGGTGCTGGCGCAGCGCCAGGACTTTGCGCGCGACGTCATCGCGGCGCTGCCCCTCTGACCAAACACGGGCCGGCTGCCTGCGGTCAAGGGACCCACGCGGCGCTCCAGGGTCCCCTTGTAATCACACCACTGGCCGTTGTCTCCCAAAACAGCAAAAAAACTCTGAAACTAACCCACTGCCGGGGAATGGGGTTGCATCGCTCCTGCATCCTATTGAGTTTTGACATGTGCTGCGAGCTTTGGGGCCGAGTAGCTTGCAAGGGTTAATGACAGTGATCAGCAACATGCTTCATGGGGATTACATGGTTTGTGATGCCACATGCTCCTGCGGTGCAGCCGCCGGCCTGGCGCCTGCTTCATAGACTTGGCGCGTGCAGGGTTCTGGCACGCGCCAATTCTCCAAATACCGACAGTTCCACACGCATATTCGCGCGGCAAATGCGTGGCACGTGCATGCGCGCGCACACGTCAAATAAGACCAAATTATTATGGATGCTGGTTTGTCCCGCGCCGTGTGCAGAGCGGGTCCGGGTGCAGTGCTGCCGCCAAGTTGTTGTGATGAGGAGTGCCGTCCCAAGCGCAGACAAGGGTCAGGTGTGCCCATGGGTTTGGGGCAGATGCCGGGCAGCTGCCCGCCGATGGAAGTGAGCGTTCCACAAAGCGCAAATCCCTGGCCAATGCAGTTGAGAGCAGCTGGCGCCGCCGGCTTTGCCGTACGGAGCAATCAGTGGCAAAAGATATTCAGACGGTGCCTCGCAGCCAGAGGGCAGAGGCCAGCGGTTGCGCAGCCTGACGCGGCGGCGAGGGCATTGCCGCAACAGCGGGCGCAGCGGGGCCACCGGCAGAGCGCAAGGGGCCGTGGGGACGCGTGCGCACGCGAGGGTGCGCGTGCCGACGGCGGGTTTTTGATGGGACTGCCGGCCGAAAGCACAGAGCAGAACATGACAAAAACATGCAGCTTCGGCTGCCTGCCAATTGGCCTGCGGCATTGGCGCACGCCCGCGGGCCACAAGAATAATTGCGTTTTGATTCCCAGCCGGTGCGACAATAGAACAAGTCAAACGGTCAACAATCAGCCATTTTATCTGACACGCATCAGCGGTGGCTCCGTCGCTGATGCGGGTCGGAGCGGCCTCACGGCTGCTGCCAACCCCTGCATTCGCCATCCCCGTCCCTGCCGCCCATGCGTCTGCCTCCGCCTCCGCCTGCGCCCCCGCAGCCCGTCTCCTTCGCTTCCAGGCTCTCCCCCAACTCGGCTATCTGCGGCAGCGGGCCCGACCGCATGTGCTGCGAAGACAGCGGGGCGCTCGCTCCCTCGCCGCCGCCGCCGCCGCCGCTGCCCGCCGGGCTGGTGGCTGACTCACCGCCGAGCGGGCTGTGGCCGCTGCTGACGGGGCTCCACGGCGGGGGGGCATCGTCTGAGTCATCCAGTGAGTCATCCAGATAATAGGACCTGTCAGGGGGCCGCTGCTGCTGCTGCTGCTGCTGTTGCTGTTGGGGGTTGTGCTGTCCCTGGCGTGGGCGTGGGGAGACAAGTAAGTGGAGGGGAGGGTGAGCGAATGGTCGTCTCAGTGCAAAGCGTCGAAGTGACTTCACCGCTGCTGATGGCTGATGTGACAGGGCTGCGAGGAGACACCGAGTGCCAGGCAGGCAGGCGGGGTGGGGGCGAAGAGAGGTGGAATGGCGAAGGAAGGGGATGACGGTGGAGGGGGTGGCCCGGGGGTGTCGGCGGGCCGAGCACTGGCCGCGGGTGCCGTGCAAAACAGCCGCTGCACCGGCTGCGAGCGCCGCAGCCTGGGTGCGGGCGCGACGAGCCAGGGGGAGCGGAGGGCGCCGGGGCGGAGCAGCCTCCCGACAAACTGCCTCACCCGGCTACGAGCAGGGGTGCGCTATAACAAAGCAGCGATGCGATGTGAAACTTCCAACGCCGCAAACGCACTTTACAGTCAATTCAGCCACCCATTCAACCCTCACGCCGACCAGGAAACCAACACACATCCAACACACCTGCACACACAACAGCACCCACCAACACCTGCCCCTCCACCCGCCCACACCCACACCCACACCGAACACCCCACACTCGCCTGCCCTGCCTCCATGCCAATTACGGCGGCTGCGCTGCCGTTCCCCGTGCCGTTGCCGCGTGACGCCCCTGTGCCCGCTGGGATGCCGGTGGGGGGCGGCCGCGTGCGCGGCACCACGCGCAGCGGCGGGGTGGGGCGCGGGTCGACGGCGCGCATGGCCAGCAGCTCCCGCAGCACTTCAGCGAAGCACGGCCTGGCCGGACGTCCAATAGGAGGTTTGAGGGGTCGCATGCGAAATTGTGAAGGCGGGTTTATGAGTGCCAGTTGTTACAAAGCCAAGCGTGTCGTGTCTGTTTTGATTGGATTTGGAGGGAACAGGCTGCTGCAGGGGCAGCGGTGTGGCAGTCTTCAAGGGTGAAGCACACATCCACTGTCGCGTCAGGCCGCCAGCCGCGCTCCGCCCCGACCTCACCCTAACCCCTTCCTCCACCACCCTCTACCCCCCTCCCCTCTCCAGACCCCCAATAC